TTTATTATACTCTATTATACTTACTACTATACTACTACTTTATTATACTTAAGTTATTGTATAAAAAATTAAAAAATTAAAAAAAACTTTTAAAACACCAGTAAATGAACAGCAGAATCTAATGAATAAACAACGCATATCCAGTAAATGAACAGAACTTGTAGACACATATTGTGGGTATTATAATTATGTATTCATTACAAATATAGAAATATATATATTAATAAAGTATTCAACTAGTGAATTCAGAGGTTTATTCGGTCAGTCAGGTTGGCAAAATAAAAAACAGAAGTCAACTACTTCATAAGTTTATCGAAGACGTTTCGCTTTATATTTCTAAAGCTTCATCAGTTCTCTAAAATACAAAGATGACATAGAGTTTATAAGAAATACAGATCTAATAATTTATTACTTACAACTCAATATGTAGTATTAAAGATGTTATCGTATATGTACTTAAGTTTACTCATAAATTTAGAACTAACTTAAAAAAAAATTAAACAGAAATATGCAAAAAATAACATTCGCAGAAACGAAGATTTACAAAAACTTTAAACGTACATTTGGCTTCATTTAGAGATGGTTCTCCAATGAAGACAAACAAAACACTGATTTATTGCAATCTACGCAAAACGACGTGGCGCGATACCGAAAATGTTTTTCAAGGGCCATATGTTCAACAAATTCCAAGGTTTGAGACAATTATGAACTTCTACGGGGGTCATTGAAAGAATAGTTGGACGGGTGGATTTGTAACGGAAAAATTTGATATGATTTTTTTTTGTAATTTATGTTTTAATGAAACTTAGAGCTTTGGGATGATTATGTTATTGTTTTGAATGGAAAATCCGGCTATTTTAAATTATGAAAATTGGTATTATTTATTTCGTAAGATGAGAGAGTGGTAAACCTGGCTCAAATTGTCAATGTCGGTTCTTTTGTTTATTGCAGATGGGTTTTTTAGGATCTCACACATTTCAATAAAGGAGCGTTTTTGATGGTTATTTTGTTTGGCCAGTATTTTAGTATTTGAGAAGTCAATGTGATGTTTGGTGGACATGGTGTGTTGTGCAAGGGCACAAGAGGGTTTGGAAAGTCTAATGTCGCTTTTATGTGAAGTTATACGCCCTAGAAGTGAACGACTGGTTTGGCCAATGTAGGCAATGTAGCAGGAATTGCATTCAGAACAGGGAACTTGATAGACAACATTAGTGTGCTCTAACGAGCTTAGTGGAGTTTTGGACTTGGAGAATAACTTTCCAATAGTTTTAGTGTTTTTTAGGGATATTTTGACGGGTAAGTTTTTGAATAGTTTAGTAAGCTTGTTCGTAACTTGTGGGAAATATGGAAGAGAAGCATATTTTGTGGCTGGTTTCGGGGTTAGCGGGGAATTGTCAGTCTGTAAGCTATTGGATATGAAGGCTAGTATTGCACCGTTAGGTGCTTCAGAAATAAAATGACCGTAGCTTTTAGAGAAAAGATATCTGTTGATGATGGATATGAGGTAAGAGTTATCAATGAGGATGGATTTGAGTAAATACAAAGATTCCCTCTTGTACCGCGTATGGGTCAACGTGTGTACTCTAAAGCTAAGAGCTTGTACAAGGTTAAGTTTGTATCTCATCGGGTGTGTAGAGTGGTAGTTTAAGAACCGGTTACTCGCCATTTCTTTCCTGTACCACGTAGTGCCCAATATGTTGCTATGTGTGCGTATGATTCGCATGTCCAAAAACGGTATGCTGTTATCAACCTCCAATTCACATGTAAATTGAAGGTGAGGATCAAAGCTGTTGAAGACTGATAAGGTGCTTAAAATCTTATCAGGTGGTGTTTTAAGGATCAGGTCGTCGACATAACGCTTTACATAAGCACCTTATCAGTCTTCAACAGCTTTGATCCTCACCTTCAATTTACATGTGAATTGGAGGTTGATAACAGCATACCGTTTTTGGACATGCGAATCATACGCACACATAGCAACATATTGGGCACTACGTGGTACAGGAAAGAAATGGCGAGTAACCGGTTCTTAAACTACCACTCTACACACCCGATGAGATACAAACTTAACCTTGTACAAGCTCTTAGCTTTAGAGTACACACGTTGACCCATACGCGGTACAAGAGGGAATCTTTGTATTTACTCAAATCCATCCTCATTGATAACTCTTACCCCATATCCATCATCAACAGATATCTTTTCTCTAAAAGCTACGGTCATTTTATTTCTGAAGCACCTAACGGTGCAATACTAGCCTTCATATCCAATAGCTTACAGACTGACAATTCCCCGCTAACCACGAAACCAGCCACAAAATATGCTTCTCTTCCATATTTCCCACAAGTTACGAACAAGCTTACTAAACTATTTAAAAACTTACCCGTCAAAATATCCTTAAAAAACACTAAAACTATTGGAAAGTTATTCTCCAAGTCCAAAACTCTACTAAGCTCGTTAGAGCACACTAATGTTGTCTATCAAATCCCCTGTTCTGAATGCAATTCCTGCTACATTGGCCAAACCAGTCGTTTACTTCTAGGGCGTGTAACTTCACATAAAAGCGACATTAGACTTTCCAAACCCTCTCGTGCCCTTGCACAACACGCCATTTCCACCAAACATCACATTGACTTCTCAAATACTAAAATACTGGCCAAACAAAATAACCATCAAAAACGCTCCTTTATTGAAATGTGTGAGATCCTAAAAAACCCATCTGCAATAAACAAAAGAACCGACATTGACAATTTGAGCCAGGTTTACCACTCTCTCATCTTACGAAATAAATAATACCAATTTTCATAATTTAAAATAGCCGGATTTTCCATTCAAAACAATAACATAATCATCCCAAAGCTCTAAGTTTCATTAAAACATAAATTACAAAAAAAAATCATATCAAATTTTTCCGTTACAAATCCACCCGTCCAACTATTCTTTTAATGACCCTGTAGAAGTTCATAATTGTCTCAAACCTTGGAATTTGTTGAACATATGGCCCTTGAAAAACATTTTCGGTATCGCGCCACGTCGTTTTGCGTAGATTGCAATAAATCAGTGTTTTGTTTGTTTTCATTGGAGAACCATCTCTAAATGAAGCCAAATGTACGTTTAAAGTTTTTGTAAATCTTCGTTTCTGCGAATGTTATTTTTTGCATGTTTCTGTTTAATTTTTTTTTAAGTTAGTTCTAAATTTATGAGTAAACTTAAGTACATATACGATAACATCTTTAATACTACATATTGAGTTGTAAGTAATAAATTATTAGATCTGTATTTCTTATAAACTCTATGTCATCTTTGTATTTTAGAGAACTGATGAAGCTTTAGAAATATAAAGCGAAACGTCTTCGATAAACTTATGAAGTAGTTGACTTCTGTTTTTTATTTTGCCAACCTGACTGACCGAATAAACCTCTGAATTCACTAGTTGAATACTTTATTAATATAAATTGACGGTCGTAGTTTTTACGAAATATATATATTATATATATATATATATATATATATATAATATATATATATATATATACATAACAATTTATTGTATTGGAGTATCAGGTATGCGGTCTGTTATTAAAAAAAAAAACTCTTTTTTTCTTTTATTACTCTATATTTCGCTGATTTTTGTCAGCTTCTTCAGGAGACAACTAAAATATGGTTAAAATTTTATATACATATCAGTTGATAATAAACAATCGATTTACTTACAGATTAAGAGTTAAAATATTTAAGAATGTTGAACATAATATATTCAAAACACTACTGACAGTATTAGTTAAAAGCACCTAGTCACTAGTAATTAAATATAACAAAAAAATATAATAAATAGAAAACAAAAACAACCAAGAAACAATAAAAACACAATAAAATTACACATTAAAAATATACAGGGTGATTTAAAATATAATTGTAAAACGAAAAATTATTTGAACATACTAAGAATATTACAGTAGATATTGCTCAACTGTCCCGTATCTGCCTTACATTTAACTGCATATTTTTCTTTATTAATGTGACACATTTCTAAAAACAATCTTCTTTTGTAATTGTTCTCTTGTTGTAGAACCCTGACATTTGAGTAGTCAAATTGATGCCCAGTTTTTAGGTAATGGTCAACTGGCGCACATGTATTCTTCTTTTTTGTGCAGTCACTTTTGTGTTGTGTGACTCGTTGTTTTAGCCATTGAGAAGTTTGGCCAACATAACAGCTCTGACAATCCAAACAAGGTAGTTTGTAGATGACATTAGTTTTATTTACAGTTGGTGCCTTGTCTTTTACTTTAGAAAACAGTTGTCGGTTTTCTAATACATTATATTGGACAATTTTGATGTTAGTAAATTGTTTAAATCAACTAGTCACAGAAGGTGTTAACTTAATGGTAATTTTTTATATTGGATTGTTTGTACTGCTCCAATATCAGTGGGACCGTCAAAAATGTCTGAGTTAAATATTAATTTTTTAAGGATATGTTTTGGGTATCCATTATTTTCAAAAATGTTTGAAAGCAAATTTAAGTTTCTGTTTATGAATTTTTCATCACTAATATGCCTAACCCTATTCTTCATTGCAATCACTGTATTAAACTTTTGATGAGTGGAATGATTTGAGAAAAAGTTTAAATATCTTCCAGAGTGTGTTGGCTTTTGATACAGTTCTTATTAATTTGGTGTCAAAAATGATATCGAACAATCATTTTCAATCTCTAACGTAAATTGAATATGTTTGTTAAAGTTATTGAAAATGTTCAAAGTATTCTGAATTTGTGAAGTAGGAACTGAACATATAAGATCATCTACAAATTTTTTAATGAAGGGTAAAGGGAAAGGTAATTGTGGAATAATGACATCCAGCAAATGGTCCAAAATAATGGTTGCTATTATGGGACCATTATTTTGGACCATTTGCTGGATGTCACCGAAGTAAAATTGTCACCGTTTACATTATGAAATAAGTTTGATTAAAAATTTTGCTAATTTTTTTGTTTTTCTCTTTCAGGTGTAACTACAATGCTCAATTTTTTCACAACGTCAAACGGATTTCGTTCTACGTTACCGGTAGTGTCTAATTTAACGGCAATGAACGTTTGGGACGGTGTTTGCATGTGTTTCATTTACGCTTCCCTTCTAGAATTCGTCTGCGTGAACTACGTGGGGAGGAAGAGGCCGTTACATAATATAGTTTATAAGCCGGCAGAAAATATTCTGACACAGGTTAGTATTCACTGGAAGTTTTTTGTCTCGTATTTATTCAGAGGGAAGCATATTTCCATTTTCCGTAGAAGTACGGGAACCTATTGCTCTACGTGTATATGAAGTTGGAGGGATGTGCATGAATTCTGTTCTCTAAACTTTTTTGTTTATCTAGTTTATTCTACACACGCCTACTCGGCTTAAGATTGCACAAATAGCTTTTAATAGAATGTAATATGAAGAATTTATACAATTTTTTGAACAATTTCATGTATATACGTCCGTAAAAAGCATTCGAATATTAATGAACATTAATAGAATCAAGAACTGAGGTGTAATTATATAAATGATACTCAAGGAGAGGCGTAGTAAGACAGGGTTGTATTCTTTCCCCATTACATTTTAACGTTTGTATAGAAAATATATTTAAGATTACATAATAAAATAAAAAAAAGCATCAAAATTGTTGGTCTTCCAAAATACCCCAAAATATGCAGCTGATACGACCATAATAACAGACAATATAGAAAAACTGTAAGATTAAATAAATATCATAAATAGAGTTGGAGAGAAGTACGGGGTAACATCAACATAACAAAGAGTTTTTGGACGGGTTAAAAGATTCAAATACCATGGAGCTTTATTAAACAGCAAGTGAAACTGTGACCTGGAAATTACATACAATAAAAATAGCAATGGCTAGAACAAACTTCGTAAAATTTAATAAATACCTCCTATATCGTGAAGTTTCTTGAACCCTTAGAGTCTGGGTGTTAAATTGTTACATATGGCCCATTATGTGGTTAACGAATTTCATGAATAAGCTACACAGAGAAAAAGATATTTTACAGAAAAAGAAATATTAAACAAAAATGCGTATAGGAAGAGATACCAAAAAATAGATATATTACATAATCTTTGCCGTACAGTGGAAGAATTGCGATAATTATGGAAAATAATTCAATTTTTTTCTAAAAATAGACTGCCGAATTACTTAAATTATAATGGGATTTATCTACAATGCCACTTGAAAAAACAGTTATTTTGATGTCTAAAATGTTGAATTATCGTCAAAATTCAAACTTATTGTACATTTGTTTAAAAAAATAGGTTAAATTTATATTTTGCGAAATTTTTCTTAAGTAAACAATCTATGTCAAATAAAGGTATGTACTTTAAACTGAAGTTGTGGGTAATACTCTAAAAAAATAGCAAATAATTTTGAAATGCCACATGGAAATGTGCTTCCTCCTTAATTGCAATTATATTTTCCCTAATTTGATTCTACACATTAACATGAGTAACAATGGAGTATGAAGTATGGATTATTCTTGAAATGTTAAAATGTATTTGTTGAACGAAATTCGTAACGACAAAAAAATGTTAAGTATTATTAGTACTTATTTTTATTTTATACATTGCTGCATCTTAAAGTTTCATGGCATTTTAAAGTTGCATGGGATTTCATCTGTAAATGTGACTGATATTATCAAATACTCTGCGGCAGTGATTCTCTCTTCAGCTAACCGATAATTAGAGTTAGAGTTTTGCGTTATTGAAAAACATTTACAACTTTTCAATATTTAGTTTATAAATGACAAAATAAGTATACTATAGCCAACTTACACTATTGTACCAACCAATACTTAACAACAACCGTTGTCCTTGATAATGTTTGTCACAGTTTTAAACAAAATTTCAACCAGATGATAGTTTATCTACCGGCAAAGCAATGTATCAATGAAAAGCACGACAATGAACGCTATTACGACTTGATATAATTTAACTTTAGTGTCATCTCCTCAAGGAAGGTTGGCATTCATCATGGGTAAACATTCATTATTGGTCTGATGACTGTTTTGTAAATTCTGCGTTTCGTTTCTTTTCCGATATTTTTATTTCTCCATACTGTTTCATTCCGATACGAGTAAAGACTTTTATAAATACTTTTACCCATTACTTTACCCAGAAGTAAGAGCAGCTTTAAAGGAAATGAAGAACCATCGATCGCCTGGTGATGATGGTCTCGTTATTAAGCAATAAAAGCAGAAGAAGAAATTCTATTAAAATCAGTGATAGTCTTGGTACAAAAAAAATCGGTATTAATAAGATTCTACTACCTATGAATCTTACTTAAGATTTAAGAAAAGTACTGCATAGGTGCATAGGTAGAAGAGGAATGTCCTGGCTGAGAAACCTCAGAGAATGGCTTGGGTTCAGCTCAACTGAACTCTTTCGGCCTTTAGTGTCAAAAGTTAGAATAGCAGTGATGATTGCCAATATTCGTCGAGGAGATGGCACGTAAAGAAGAAGAATTTAACAGCTTAGAATTTATCACTGAGTTGATTTTAGTAATTATGGTATATTATTTTGTAGCGACTCACTGACAGGAGTAAAAACGTACACTGGTATTAGTATTTCTATATGCCTTAACTTCCTCAATCGCTTTTAGCTTTAAAATAAATTCTTCTTCTTCTTACGGTGCCTATCCGTTCCGGATGTTGGCGATCAACATGGCTATCCTAACTTTGCTTGCTGCTATTCTGAATAGTCCGGTTTTCGATATGTTAAACCACTTTCTCAGGTTTTGAAGATAAGATATTCTTCTTCTCCCTGGTCCTCTCTTTCCAAATACCTTGCCCTGAAGAATGAGTTGCAACAAGCCATACCTCTGTTCATTCCTCATAACTTGGCGAAGATATTCCAGTTTGCGCTCTTTGATAGTGTTAATAATTTCGCATTCCTTGCCTATTCTACGTAGGACCTCAACATTAGTCACACGATCCACCATGAAATTTTTAAAATACGTCTGTAACACCACATCTCGAATGCCTCGAGTTTTCTTAAAGAAGCTTCGAAAAGTGTCCAGGCCTCTACTCTGTATATAACATAGAAAATACATAGCATCTAATGAGAGAGATTTTGGTAGGAAGTGGTAAATCGTGACTTCTGAAAAGAGACTTCATCATTATGAACGCTGATCTCGCTTTTCCTATGCGTTGTTTTATTTCACTGGAGTGATCCCATTGGCTGTTAGTGTTGGTATCAAGGTATAACTGTCCACTCTGTCAATTGGATGTTGGTTAACCAAAAGCTGTGTATTTAATATTTCGCGCTTACTAACTACCATGTACTTTGTTTTCTTCGTATTAATATCAAGTCCGGGTTCTCTACTAATATCTGATATACGCGACATTATTCTTTGCAAACCGTCCAGACTATCTGCAAAAACTACTGCGTCGTCGGCATATCTAATGTTGTTTAGACGCATTCCGTTGACTAATACGCCTTCTTGTAGTTATTCCAGCGCTTGCTCGAAGATATATTTAGAGTATATAATAAATAACACCGGGGACAGAATGCATCCTTGCCTCACTCCTCTATCCATGGAGACTGCCTCTGTCAATTGGTCATCCACTTTAGTATTGGTTATTTGGTTGTAATATAAATTATAGATGATTCTCAAGTCCTATTAAAACAAATGCAAATAAATAAATTAAAATAAATAACCTGATTTAAAAATTTCCTGGAAGTCAATCATAATAAACATATTTTGCGTATTTATGTACTATATATATATATATATATATATATATATATATATATTTATGTACTATATATATATATATATATATATTATATATATATATATATATATATATTATATATATATATATATATATATTAGAGGATCAAACTTGTAAATACAATACATTTTGGAGACGACTATCACCGTATTCCGTTCACCTCTACGAATCTCCCGGTCCAAGGCCTGCTCCTTCCAAACCTCTCGATTCCATCGCTCTTCTAATTCCTTCATTTCATGAGCGTCGAGGTCTCTGTAGCAATTATGTTGTTTCTTATAGATTCGTTGCTCTTTCTTTCCAGCCTTGATATTCTAGCACTTCTTCTCAAATAATCCATATCAAGTGCCAACAATCTTCTCTTCAGGTCTGCATTAATTGTCCATACTTCAGAGCCATAACAAATAACTGATTCAACCGTGGTTTGCCCTATTCTATTTTTGTTCCTTTTGGAAATGTTGCGATCCCACCATAATGAGTTCAGACATCCTACAATTTTACGTCTCTGATTAATTAGGTGTTAAATTCGGTTTCTCCCAAATCGTTCTTATCAATGAGTGCATCTAAATATTTAATTTTTTACACTTGTTTGATTTCCACATCCTCGTCTATCAACACTTCAAACCTTGCATCTGAATTGATAACTAAATATGCGGTTTTCTTCATGCTGACTTGTAACCCCCATTTTAAATATTCTCTGTATAGACACTTTATCATAAATCCTAGGTCATAAGAATCTTGAGCTAGGACAACTTGGTCACCCGCAAAGTTCAGGGAGAACAGTCATTTCCTATGGGGATTCCCATTCCCTGGTAGTGGTTTTTCCAATTTTGGAAGGCTGCCTCAATATATAAATTAAACAGTAAGAGTGATATAGGTCTTTGTCTTAGTCATTTAGTTACTTTTATTGGCTCTGATATTTTATTTAAGATTTTTAGGTAAGTACTGTTATCCCTGTATACTTCTGTGATTATTTCTAAAAGGTATTGGCTAATGCTGAGTTGTTGTAAAGCTTCCCACAGTTTACGTCTTGGAACTGTATAATAATTTGTATGTAATTATGTACTCTTTTAATTATATCTATATCGGTATCGGTATAATTATAAGATCATAAAATAAGTTTTTTTACATTTTAAAACTGTTAAATCTTCGTATCGATCTATCAATGTTGAGCCTTTCACGAAGATCGTCACGTGACTCGCAACCATAAAAACATCTTATTACCTTTTCCTTTTTACTCGCCGATAAGAAGGTAACCCTTACCAAGTAGCACTTACGAAACAAATCTTAGTGAGGTTTTACACTAGAGTGAAATTTACAAGGTGTTTTTTACTCTTTGTTTAATACGGTAGCAGATTGATTGGTATAAGAATACATTATACCGGGTGTGTTAAAAAATCGGAGTGGTCGAATATTTCGCGAAATTTACATCGATGA